ACATTTATACGGCAGTTCTCCAGTGTGAATTATTTTATGTGTGTCCAATCGTTGTTTTGTTACAAATGCTTTATTGCCTACATCACACTTATAAGGACATTCTCCGATATGCAGCATTTCATGATATTTTAATAATTTTTTTCTTTTGAATGCTTTACTGCATATTCCACAAGTATAAGAACGTTCTTCAGTATGTACAATTGCATGAGATATTAGTGCTCGTTTTGTTTTTTAAATGTTTTATTGCATATATCACAATTATAATCACGTTCTCCAGAATGGGTCAATTCATGGTAGTTTAATCCTTGTGTTGTAGCAAATGCTTTATTGCAAAATCTACAACCGTAAGGACGTTCTCCGGTATGAACTCTAGCATGTTGCATTAATGTGAATCTTGATCTAAATGTTTTGCCACATGTCTCACATGTGGTGTTTACCGTATGCACTGATAAATGTCTTTTTAAATAACATAGCTTTAAAAATCTTTTATTGCATATTTCGCACTTATGAGGGCGGTCTACAGTGTGAGTCATTTTATCTGGGTTTAATGATTGTTTTGTCGTGAATGTTTCATTGTGTTTCAAGACATGGGTTGTTTCAATTCAAGTTTTCCAAGGATTTCTTCCTTACATATGTAAGGTTTTTCATCTTGATTTTCATTTTCATTCTCCTCCTGCTCTATATCTTCCTCATTTTTACCTCAGATTTTAAAAATCGCTGTAGAGACATTTCTTTTTCGTTTCCGGACATTCTTCTGATATTATATAATCATCTAATTTTTGTTTGACTCGTAGACAACAATCAAATTCTTGTTTATCTTGAGGATATTCGATTGGTTTCAATTTTAATTGTTGGGTTTGAGTTTGTTCCTTCAGACATTTTCGTCTTTGGATGGTTCTTGCACATAAACTGGAAAGTTTAAAATTTACTATATACGTTTTTCATGTACAGTAAATATTTTATTAATAATTATTTGTTTTGTTTAAAATACAATAATACTAACGCTAACACTTTGTTGTTATTTTATTTTCGCATATAAAACACAATTTCATTAAACACTTTGACATTTCTATTTAATTATAACCTCAATTTTAATGGTAAAGGTTGGACAACATTGAAAATATTTCAATTGCAAATTTTAAATATGACGGCGGCAAAATTTAAAGTCATGGATTATATAATTTCAATAAAAAAGATGGATTTGGTTCAAATTATAATCATTTTAAAACTATGTGGCGGTGTATATGGCTAGTGGTGTATACTCTTTTTTTATCTATGGTGTATGGCATCGTGCCTTAAGGCAAATTGCTGGAACTTTCCGTACCGTAATGAAATGTCCGAGGAATATTAAATGTTTTCGAATAGATTATTATTAATACTGTAGCACTGTCTAATATTTATAAGAGTTTTATAAGGTGAATTACAAAGTTAAAACTATTTATTTAAAGTATATAAGTGAGCTTTAGAACTTTACCCAGAATTAAAATTAAAATCTGAATTATTTTCAATATACAAAAAAAAGTTTTTATGAAAAAAAATATTGGAAAAAAATTTTTTGAAAATAAAGCACACACACACATCCATTTTTTCTGAGGTATGCCAAAATGTTTAGAAAGTTCAAAACGTAAAGATATGTAAAAATTTTAATTTTCGATTTTCGGGAAGTTAAAAAATTGTAATAAAAAAAACTCGTTTCGTCAACACAAGCAGTTTTTTTTTTAAAAATTCAAATCGGATGCTTAGTTCTCTCAAAACTGCCATTTTTTGCTGATATAGCTCTATATCTCCGAAACGGCTGGACCTGCCTTTGCCAAAATCTTATCAACACTTCTCCGCATTATTACAAATCAAATGTTCTTTTAAATCATTCATATCGGTTGATCCGTTCTTATAAAAACTGTCATTTTTAGCACTTTTTGCTCCATATCTCCGAAGACGCTGACCCGTCTTCGTCAAAAACTAATCAGCACGTCACCTCATCAATGGGAATCGAATGCTTTTTGAACCATTCAAATCGGATAAATCGTACGCCCGAAATCGTCGTCAAAAATTGTCTCCACACACACATATCGAATTTTTCTGAGGTATGCCAAAATGTTCAGAAACATCTAAAACGTGAAGATAGGCAAAAATTTTCATTTTCGATTTTTGGCCCTTTACTATAACATGCCCTACGGAAAGTTAATTAGGGATATATGGTAAATTACTGGAACTTCCCGTACCGTAATGAGATATTTCAAAAATATTAAAAAAAATCAAATAGATTATTATAAATACTGTAACTTTAATTATTTTTATTTTATAGACGAAATATAAGAGCTTATAAAAGACGATGACGTTTATATAAGTTTACATGAAAAGTGAATAAACAAAACTTAACCAAGCGGTGTTAGAATTAAGGATCTTATCTCATATTTCTAAGAAGTATATAAACAGAATTGCAAAGTTAAAATTATTTATCTCAAGTATATTAGTAAGCTTTAGAATTTTAGCTAAAATTAAAATTAAAATCCAAATTATTTTCGGTATAAAAAAAGATTTTTAACCTTTGACGCTTCTGAAAATTTTGGCAAACCTTAAAAAATGAATGTATGTGTGTGTGTGTGCGGATACAAATTTGCGTCAATTTTGGAACGCGGATCAACCGATTTCAGTAATTCAAAAAACGTTTGATTCGTATTGATAGGGAGACGAGCGAAAACATTTGGTTTGTACTCGATCGCGAGGCGTTTTTGCAAAAGGCACGTCTAGCCGTTTCGGAGGAATGAAACACAAAGGGTGTAAAAATTGTCTGTCGGTTTTTGAGAGAACGGATCATCCGATTAGATTAATTCAAAAAATATTTTTCTTGTTTAGACGGTGTGAAAAAAATGAATTTACCGGAAATTTCGTAATATTGAAAACTTTCAAAAAAAAAAATCAAATTTTCGAAATATTTCATAATGAACTTCCCGTAGGGCAAGTTATAGTAAACGCAAAAAATCGAAAATGAAAATTTTTATATATCTTTACGTTTCAAAACCTTCTGAACATTTTGGCATACCTTAGAAAAAATGGATGTATGCGCGTGTGTGTGTATGTGCGTGTATGTGTGTGTGTTCGGATACAATCGACGATTTCGGGAACACGGATGAAGCGATTTGAATAATTCAAAAAACATTCGATTCGTATTGATAAGGTGCTGATTAGTTTTTGGCAAAAGCAGGTCTAGCCGTTCCGAAGATATGGGGCAAAAAGTGCCAAAAACGGTAACTCAGTTTTTAAGGATTTGAATAATTCAAAAACTGATCAAATTTTCATGAAGGCAGGCCTAGCGGTTTCGGAGATCTAGTAAAAAAAGTAGAAAACTAGTTCGTTTGGTATTTAGCCTTGAATTAAGCAAGTTACATGAACTTCCCGATATGTGTAAATAATCGACTTAATCAATAAAAAATAAATTGATTTATGAGTGGATTTATTACACATAATTGAAAACGAACGAACACGTTTACTAGGAGTATTTTCAAAAAGCAAGTTTTTAAAAATCAACAATTATTATATTTAAACCAGTTTCGGTAGGATTTTAATGGTTTAGTATGTTTATTAAGACCAAGTACAATATTGTTATACAAAGTAAATCGTCTAATTTTAATTTTAGCTAACGTCAAAAAAACTACTCATTTTCTCAAACTTTGATGATTTTTTAAAATTAAACTACTTGTTGTAAGGCCGTAATATTTCAGTAAGTTCTATAAGACCATGATGTACTCGTATATGGGTCATTTTTTTACAAACCGGACACTTTTTAACCTTGACATTTTAGAATTGTCTGAAAATTTGTTTACAGATACTATTCATAAAATCATTTGACACGTATTTCAGGATTTTGCTGAAAAAAAATTTTTGACGTAAACATTTACGATTGAAATATGGATTTTTTGCTCAATTTCTATGAACATCATCTGCGGTAAATTAATTATCTCCGGATGTGCTGATCCGATCAGTATTATTTTTTTTTATTACACTCATATTGAAGTGAACTTTGTAATGATTAAACATTTTTTTTTTGTTTTTGAAATTTTCTTAACAATAACAACCCTTAAATATTTACAAAGGTTTTACTCGGCCTTTACCCGAATTGAATCGATCCAAAAAAAAACATATATTTTCTTTTTTTCTCTGCAACAAAATTCTTTTTACAATTTGTTGGAGGTTTTGTTACATCGAAAGATATTAAATATTTTCAAGCGCGAGCCGCGCTTTTCACGTCGTGGACCTCAAAGACTTGTACTCATTTGTCACTTTCGAATGACAATCTTATTGTTTTTCGGTTGAAAAATATTTTATAATTTTGCTTCTGGCGAAAAATGAACATATAGTCGAAAAAAAACATTAGGGGAGAGCGGAGCTTAAAAGTTCGTGGGTAAAAAGATCCACTGCCAATATCTCAAAAACAAGTAAAGTTAGAAATTTTTTAACATCATTCGAAAGTGACAAATGAGTACAAGTCTTTGAGGTCCACGACGTGAAAAGCGCGGCTCGCGCTTGAAAATATTTAATATCTTTCGATGTAACAAAACCTCCAACAAATTGTAAAAAGAATTTTGTTGCAGAGAAAAAAAGAAATTATATGTTTTATTTTGGATCGATTCAATTCGGGTAAAGGCCGAGTAAAACCTTTGTAAATATTTAAGGGTTGTTATTGTTAAGAAAATTTCAAAAACAAAAAAAAAATGTTTAATCATTACAAAGTTCACTTCAATATGAGTGTAATAAAAAAAAATAATACTGATCGGATCAGCACATCCGGAGATAATTAATTTACCGCAGATGATGTTCATAGAAATTGAGCAAAAAATCCATATTTCAATCGTAAATATTTACGTCAAAAATTTTTTTTCAGCAAAATCCTGAAATACGTGTCAAATGATTTTATGAATAGTATCTGTAAACAAATTTTCAGACAATTCTAAAATGTCAAGGTTAATTAGTGTCCGGTTTGTAAAAGAATGACCCATATCGCCAAAAAAGGTTCCATGAAAATCGGCTTAAATTTTTTTCAACAGTTCATTACAAGAAAACGGCTCGGTAGATTTTCACCTAAACCTAATCAGTATCATTCCGAACTAATATCTTTCGAACAGTTTTTGATTTTTTAAAATCGGTTCGGTAGGATGAGCTTAAATGTGAACGAAAGGTTTAACACTTTTTCTCAAATTACAAAAAAACGGCTTGGCAGATCGTTGCACAAAACTGACAAACGATAGTCCTCATCGAAATACATCAATTGGCTTTTAAATTTCTGAAATCGGTGCAGACGTTTTTGAGAAAACGTCGATGAAAGGCCTAATTTTGATAAATGCCAAAAAAACGATACCAATTTTTGCAAACTTTGACAAATTTTCAAAGCTAAACCAGTTGTCGTAGGGCCGTAATATTTTAGTATGATCTAGTAGACTATAGTATCTACCGTCAAAAAAATAATAATAAAAATCGTCGAAAAAATTTTTTTTAACACTTTATTACAAGAAAACGGCCCGGCCGATCTTTACCA